CACACGGGCCTACAACATATCCGCCTTCATCGGAAATGCAGCCGCCGCAGCCGGGATTCGATCCCGCGTCCCGCAGGTCAGCAGCTGAGCACCTTAGCCACTAGACCACCACGGCGGGGCTGTAAAAAGCTTAGTGAACGCTAAAAAAAAGCCTGATTCTTTTAACTGGGATTGGTTTAGGGGCACTTCAAAGCGAGAAAATTTTCAACTTCTGGACCAGACAAGGCCATCACTTCGAAATAGTTCGTGCGGGATGAAGCATTTGGAGGACGAAAGCTTCCTACCCAGTGATACATACGAGTATTTTTGCCACTTCTGAAGAAGCAATGCGTTTTAGAAAGTGACAAAGCAATGAGGTTCAGCAGCATCCTTGCCGAATGCAGATTCTTCTACTATATTGCATGCGCGTTTAGAGCGAGCATAAGCTACACGCTCTTGACGTGGCTAGCACATAGACTACCGTTATGATTACGTCACAGATAATGGCGAACAAGCACTGGTGACGAGCTTGCGATAGAGACTTAGGCCGTATTCCAGGATCACCACTTCCGGCTATTCTCGCATTTTCTCGAGATTTCGCGAAGCTGGCACAGCTAGGGTGCGCATACCCGTAGAGATGCTTACAGTGTTTACTAAAGCGAACTGCCACGCTGGGATCGTTCAGTGACCACAGGAACTATGGGTTGCTTTCAAGGTAGTGATTGTGCAGCCGCGAGTGATAGTTTCGGAATACGGCCACAGACCGGAAGCTATCGTGGTTCTTACTTACACCACAACCACATGCCCCCGTTTATAGATGGCAGCTCCACTACAAACGATGGGAATTTCGGTCCATACTCAGCCATGGAAAATTTCGCCAGGCCCAAGCAGGTATACTGCAGTAGATGTAGAAATTTTCTACTCCTCGCCAACTACACACCACTCTTAGTTGTGCGTGGAAGGCGAGCAAAAGTAAAAGATGGACAATCTCGCGTTTATACTGGTGAAATGCGTTTATATCTTGTCGCAGGGACGTAACCATTTGTTCGAGTATATACAAAGTCTATAGTCGAAACCAGCCTATTTACACCTCTTATAAGCTCTCGAATACCGAACGCTGTGACACAGGACGGGCGCACCAAGCTCCAAAAAGTGTCCTTTGTGGCGCGAGTGGCAGTCTGTGTGAAATGCTGATATGTTTGTTGTGTAACGCGCAAGCGACGGTGTAGTAAATCTTGCCTTCGTGCGAAGGCTTTGACGCCCGTACACGAATGAACATCGTGATTTGTCTTTTCCCCCTTCCTTCCCTGTAATTAAGCTGTCTATGCACGCAAACTGCGAACGTGTGCCAAAGACTGCATTGCCGTATCGATTCACGACTACCACGATTTTGTGTACTGCCACGTCTCAAAGCATTGTAACGCCCTATACAGAATAAAGGCTGTTCTCTACAGTCCCACTACGCCCTTTATTGCAAACAACATATGCAACCTGAGTCAGCTTTCATACATGACATTTATAATGAGCTGCAATAAGATGAAAATTGTGTCCCGCAGTCAGTGTGAGGTACAAGCGTCCTCTGGCGTCGCCAAGTTTCCAGAGCAAGCTTGTATCTAAGAGCACGAGCATATGCTCTTTGTGATCGGCAGATTGCACCAATGAGCGACGTGGCGAGGCGTCACGTGTCTTCACGTGATGATTTTTCGAGCTTACGCTGACGCCAACGGTCAATCTCAAGTTTTACGAGGCAGTTAAGGTGTTTTAAGCCTTAACGCGTACTGTAGGCTAAAACAGAGCACGAAGAAGAAGAGTGAACAAGGGAAGTCGATGCCTTGATCCCCGTACTGAGAGAAAAAAAAAATCACAGCATATCCACGAAGTGAATGATGACGAGTGGGCGAAGCTCCGGGGGATCATTAGCACCCCCGTACATTACCCACTCGATCAAGCAAAGATGTGACAACACGTGCGTAAAGCCTATACAAAGTTTATTATACACAATGCGCACATGGTGTTGAGATGGCCATATGGACATTCATATGGATATCCATATCCATATGAATATGCATATATACATAAATAACTATATGGACATCCATATGAATATCCATAGGGACCTTGCAACGGAGCCGTCACTGCAGCTACGTGAGTGTTGGACGTTTCCCTTTTGAGATTTGCCAGGCTTCTAAGGAGAGTTTTGAAGATCGAACTTGGCAGGTTTTCTTTTATGAATATTCAGCCCTTATGCGTGATAGCACTTGGTGATATTCGATCAAAGAATAGATAGGGAGAAAAGTTCGCTGCTTCTGCGAATAATCACGGCCGGCCAAAGGGAAGGTGCGACGCGCGGTGCGTTTCACCCTGGTCGGGTAGTGGTGTTCAATGGCTTGCCGCGAGTATACGGAAGCCGTAGTTCAAGTTCACCGTTTCGCTAGCTTCACATATACCAAATTTGGTATTACGTGACGTGAATGGACGACAAACACAAACGCCAGGCGCAAACATGATAATCACGGCATGGAAGTCGTATAAGGTATAATTTACATGCCTACCGTTGCTGGGGCTAGCACTGCAAACGTTAGTGGTGCCGTTTTTACGTGACTACGAACAACATACTTGCATCTTATTCATAAACGTGAGCGCGCATAATATTCCCACTTGTGTTTACTATGTACTACATCTATGTGCCTCGTAACGTTGTGCTGATTTTAAAGTGACATATCAACCTTCCCCATTCGTGCTTCGCATATAATCGATTCCCACTGTATGTGGGATCTGCCGATTTTTTATTCCTAGGTTGCCGTCAATTATGTTTTCGTACATATTCCACCATGCAAGTGGAGATGACAGCGTGTAGCCGAAAAGCGCGATATCTTGACAGACTCAATGCGGAGCGCTAATGTTGCGCCCCTCTTTAATGAAGAGATAAGTGGCGAGGTGGGGTCAAACTTGTAGGAAAGGTAATGAAGGCTTGACAGAAACATCTATTCCGTCTTTAAAATCGGAGCGATTGAGCGGGGCCTTTCAAAGCGGGAAAATGAGCGCATCTCAGCTTCCGCAGCATGATCTTTGCTGCGGTCAGCCTTTTCTTTTACTATTTTTCCGGACGCTTCCAAATTCCCATTTCTCTGCAGTCTGTGCCATGCCGTCATCAATTTGCATATTATGTCAGCCTTTAGAGCTTCCAGTAAAACTTCTTCGTTACAGTAGACACTTATTTGTTAAACTTCAACCGAACTCATACACTTCGCATTGTCCTCCTCCAAAAAAACCTATCGTCAGTCTTTCTTTTGCTTTGACCAGAGAACAGAGTTTCTCCGACAAGCTCCCAAGAATGAATGTTCTTTAGCTGCCGGTGTCTAACACAATCCGGCAACAGCATGACTGGGTTCTACCTTCTGCTAGTGTCATTGCGAACTGCAGAAAAATACTTGATGAAGTATTCATATATTGGTGGATATAATATTGCTCTTGCAATTTTCACTTGCACCTCATACGGCTGCTGTACAATTCGCTGTCCGTTCATTTCGGCACGTACTTTTTTTCCACATATCACGTGACGCGCACGTGACCTTGAGGACGCATGACGTGATACGCGTATGCGTCATGTGATTCACGACTCCGACGCTGAAGGCAGGGTAAGTATTTTGCTTGCGAAGGCTACACGGTGCGAATCGAAAGCGTTTTAAGCTCGCATCTCCCAATCAAGACATAGCGCTGCTTCGAAATATTGGTTGCATCAGCTCATAATGAAGCATATTAAAAAGTTCTTGTGTCATAATGTGTTGGGCGCGCATTGATTTCCAATTTCTAAATTAAATTTTGTACGCGGCCGCTGACCAGCTCTTCCGGCTATCCTTGTAATGACTAAATTATATTTATGTGTACTGTCCCTCCTTCTTGGGCCAAGTTAGTTTTCAGTATACTCAAATAAAGAAAAACGGGATAAAAAACGTCATGCCTGCGCGGAAGGTGCAGCACAGTCACAGCGAAAGCTAAAGAGCGGCCTTTCAGAGCCTTTTCTAAACACTCATTGGGTAACTGCTGCAAGCACACTTGCTTGATACCCTCTTGGTAATAATTAATAAACTTAATTGTGCAGTAGGCAGGCATTCGCTATGCTATTTTGCGTCATTCTTCTGATAAGCGTGGTATCCGTTCAACACTTGCAAGGAATTTTGTGCCGATTGTTCATGCAGTGGCTGAAGACGATGAGGAATTATGGCTGAAGTGGGTAAGCGCCACAGTTAATAGGGGAACAAGAACAAGTTTTTGTGATGAGTAGGAGCATTGGGCGGCCCACTCGTTACGCTATTCACCTTGTGCGACGACTGGTTGTTCTTTCGTTGTTTTAAAACGCTTTATACGTCGTATTAACGCGATTGCTTTCCAGACATCAAGCCTGCATAGGCACAAGCACAATTTACAAGAACCAGCGTAACTCAGCGGTAGAATACTTGGCTGGCACCCAGTGGACCCGGGCTCGAGCACCACTGTTTCATTGGGGCTAAGTTTTTTTTTTTCTAATTTCACACGATGTTGTTACGGACACCGGCGGCGGCGGACAACTGCGCGTGACCCAAGTTGTGATCTCATAACAATTTTCTCTGTAAGAAATGAATACATAGGTTGAGTGACAAGGTAGAATAACATGACTTCTTAAGAATGTGAAGTACAGGTGTGAGTTTGGAACACCAGATCAAATCCATGCATACTATGAGTGTTGTTCAGGTACGTGCAAGAGGAGGATGTTACACTGTATAGCTGCTAACAAAGAAGCATACAACGTGTGTCTTAATGTGTTCTCAAAATAAAAGAGATCATTGTGATAAAGAGTACGAAATCACGTTAGAAATGTAAAGCAATGTCCAGCCCCACTGAGTCTTATCATAGAGTTGATGGTAGCTAAATTTAATGTTCACATTAAAGACGATGCTAGCAAATGCATCCATCAACAACCAGCGAATGTCGGTGTAAGTATGAACCATCGACAACGGAACGCATTTCAGTAATATAAGCTTCTAGTTAAATTTGTGGCCGTGTCGCCCAGTTGACGCCTTGGGAGAAAATTCCGGATCACTAGTGGGACTCCTTCGACCTTTCGGGCGCTCGGCGCTTCCATATTTGGTCTTACGATCTGTCGGCCGCTCAAGAGTACGTCTCATGTGTTCCATGGTGTTCCTGGCGGAAGATGAACCGAGATTGGCCTCTTTGGCCTGTTCGACCATGGTAGTTCGGGGAAGGACCCGTATCACCAGCAGCGACAGGAACAGGAGAAAGGCGGCGATGGCGAATACCATGTACTCTCGACCATGAAGGTGCAGTTCAAACGTCACGGACGAAAACAGGGCTCCAACGCGTCCGCTAGCGAAGACCCAGCACACCGCGCCGCTCCTGACGGCCGATGGGAAGAGCTCCATGACGAACACCAAAACGTGAACGATCACGGCCAGAGACACGCCCCTAGAGAGCACGATGAGAACGTTCGTGATCGTGGTGACCCCAGTGCCGGCGGCGACACTCAGCAGGCAATCGATTACGGCTGTCATCACCAGAAACGTGTTCATCATCGTCACTAGGGCGATACCGGAAACCAGGGCCTGCATCACCCCGCAAGAGAAGAGCGTGGCTACGACAACGCCGTAAGGCATCCAAACCTCGTGGATCGGTGCCGTCGCGAACACGGCCACATAGTACGAGAACGTTATCGAGAAATAGGCGACAATCATGGCGAGCACCCGCCGTCGCAGGGAGTGAGAGTCCAGAATATCTCCCTCGATGGCTATCGGGGAACTTGTCCTCGCCTCGGCCTGTTCTCGGAGCCTGTGCATCAGAGCAGCCGTGTCTGGAAGGGGGAAGTCGTTAATATTAGCAGCCTGGATCATCACAGCCTCGGCCTCGTGTAATCGTCCTTTCGCAACGAGCCAACGAGGTGATTCGGGTGCCATGAGAGACACGGGGAGGAGTAGGAGCGTAGGCGCGAGAAAGACGAGCTGCTTGAGTGACCAGGACATGGTCAAGCGCCTCATTAGGATTTCCCACAGTTCAGGCCAGCAAGATGCCCACCATTTGCCACAGGATGACTTGCTGTGGTCTGTGAGCGTGCGCCGTTACTTCGAACGGGATCACGGTGCTGAAGACTTCGTTCACGGCCACGAAGCCTCCGGCAAGGAAGCGTGCCGCGGCGTAAAGGTAATAGGTGTTCGCCAGAAAATTGCAGACCGTGGTGGTCGACAACGCTGCAGCGGACGCCAAGAGACACCTCCTTCGACTTAGCGAGTCCGCGTATATTCCAGATATAACGAGAATCAGGACGGCGCCCGCATATTGCAGGGCTACGACAGCGATCCTTAATAGGCGTCGATGACAGACCAAGTTCCAAGGGGTCACCGCTGTAGAATCGGCCACTGAGTCATCGTACTCCCATTCTTGGCAGAACTTCTCTCGCGTGTCGTTGGCGGCTTCTGGGCCAGTGTTCAGGCAGTCATTATACCACCAGTCCGGCTGTTCTCGCATGCCGCTGTCCACCCGTTGCCTGTTTGGAAGGTTGAGGTCAACCGGAGGCATGCAGCGCTCGTAGACACGGCATTGGCTAAGCCTTCCGTCGGCTTCTAGTGGTATGGCTATGTTCTTCCATTCGGCTAGAGAAATGTTTAGGCCCCTGGGCCGCTTGCACCAATGGTCCACGTCACCGAAGACGTGAGTTGCAATAGAAGTTTGGCAGATGACCGAAAAAGACGCGAGAATAAGAAGAATGAACAGGCGCTTCTGGAAGGCACCGTAACCGAAGCCATCCTGGCAGTCGAAGGACTCACTCGTACGCAGATCATAGCGAGCCAGGAGCTTCGGAAAGAACAGGTCCATCTTCTAGCTCCAGGGTCGTTGACCGAAGAGTGCGTGGCCTGGAACGATCGTTCGAGAAGACACCGAGTAGGACTTAGGCTTAGCGAAGCAGTTTCGTCAAGTCGAATATGCGGTGCACATCCCCACTGGTCGTTGTTGTTGTTGTTCACCTATTGTTAGTGGCGCATACCCACTATGAAGGATTGGCCAAGAATCAAGTGGTTTTAAAAATTACTGTTCAGATTTGAAATAATGGAGGTACAACAGAAAGATTACCGATAGCCTATAGGAAAGTGTGGTGCTTAATGTAATGCATACAAATATTTACATAAACGAATTTATTCACTGGTCGAAGCAGCTAAGGCTTGTTCTTGTTCACCTTCTCTTGTGAGTCATACCCACTGTGGAGCTACTTGGCTGGCTGCATAGTTGATTTTAAAAAACTCTTTGGTTGCTTGGATTATCGTGCTGTGGCTGAACCCACTACAGTGAATCGATCATGATAATAATGATGATGATGATGATGGTGGTGGTGGTGGTGGTGGTGGTGGTGGTGGTGGTGGTGGTGGATGACCTTGTATTGATAGCGCTCACCAATGGGGATGGGCCAAGAACCGGGCGGCGGGATGAACCACGCAGTAGTAAGGTGCAAAAAACAAAAAAGAAAATCAGTATAAACGAGGAAAGAATATCATGTTGGTCCAACACGTGATGCGATTTGCAGGGATTGCAAATTTATGCAACCTATTAGCGCATGTCAGTTGATGCTGTGTTTAAAGAAATATTCGTAAAAGAACTTAAGAGATGTGTTAAATCTTACTCATCTATTCGAAATTGTTGGTGTCAGACTAATACAGCTGTCTGGTCTGCTTGTGCTCTGACACAATAGCTGTTGTATTTGTTTGCTATGTTACCTAATATTTCCTTTGGGTTTTCGTTTTCTTTTTCAATAGGCCTTCTACTGGTTGCTAATAAATGTTAAGATGCGGAGTCTTGGTCAGTCCTCTATATTGAGTATGTGCGATACCGCCGAAAAAAAACATGTGTGATAATATAGGCGGAGCGAATTAATCACACTGGATTTCACGAAGCTATACAGAAAGAGGACGATGCAATCGAAGCAGCATGCTGGATTAGTTGGTAACTTGGTAATGCACTACCTCGAATGATTGCGCTACAAAATAGACACGGAGAATAGAGAAGACACACTGAGCTTCGGTGTGTATTCTGTGTTGTCCTTGTCTTTTTTGGTGTGCAATCGCCTGAAATGACAAGTGTCAGTCATTGTAGAGAAATCACAAGGAAGATACAGTGTTAAAAATTTAATACGGATCGGCAG